TCATCCGTTGATACCCATATAACTGGGGATCCATCTTCATATCCAGAGATAGCCCATTCTTCGATACGACCAAATCCTTCACATCTGATTTCTTTAGCTTTTTCTTGATCCCTTGTGTCCTCAAGTGGCAAAATTAGACCAGATATAAAGAGGTCATCAACTTCCAACATTTCAAAAGGTTGTGGAATTCCAGCCGCATTATGAAAAACAAATTCTGTAAGCCTTCTACATGGTCGACCATCATCTTTTCCTTCTGTCAATCGAATAGCCACAGCCTCCTCCTCAATGCATTGATCCTTCCTTACTTCTATGATGGAAGACTTTTCACATATTTTAACATTTTTCTCTTTAAAACTAGAACAAGCAGCAGCACGTTTCGGCATTTTGCGGACACCTGTGGGTTCCTCTGCATTTTGCATTATTTTACGCTTTTTCCCCGTAGAGTTAGTTGCTGCTGCCTTCTTAGACGCTGGATCTAGTTTGTGTTTTTTCTTTTTGGCTCCTACTTGACAAAAGAACAAAATAGTTAGAAAAATAAAATTTTTAAAAGATCTGTTGACAACGGGAACGAATTTAGGATAAATGTCCCAAACATTTGGACAAATTAGAAGCAGTTACTGAGATGAAGAAATGCTGCTGCACAAAAAAGGATGCAATATGAGGTCAAGAAGAACCACAAAGTCTTCTTTAGGGGGGAATAGTCACTAAGAATGCTCATTTTGGTGACAATAACTGGATAAAATTAAAAAGGTCAGGTGTCAAGGGCAGTTATAACATGACCAGAGAACACCTTGTATGATAAAGAAAATGATAATCATTTTCAGCAAAACAGTGAAACAACTGAGAACAAGTGCATGTCAACACTACTCAAAGCATATGTATATTGCAGTACTATAAAGTTATACCAAGGCAGGGATGTTTTTTAAAAAAAAGTTGTAACTGAAAGAAGGCATAGTTAGGAAGTGAGTTGATAATGGACATCACACAATACAATATACTATACATTCACAAAATTTTTAAAAGGGGGTATAGTGTTCAAATAACTCATCTATTCTTGAAAGAGATGCAAAAAAATTATCTATTTCTGCCAATAGCATCAGGAAGGACAAGAATGTCGGAAGAAAAACATACATATTGTTAGTACTTTGACAAGCAAAAAATCTACATCCAAAAAGGGATAATTACATACTTAAATATTGGAAATTGGGGAGGAAGGGGGGGAGTTGTGGTTCGTTGGATGACGCCACCTAGGAGTACGCGGAGTATATTCGTCGGAATTTTCCTGATCTACACCTTGAGGACAAGGTGGTTTCTGAAGGGCGGGGGAGTGATATGGGTCCGGTAGTGCATGGGGAACCGGAGGTTCGTCGAAGTGAGCGGCCAAGGCATGCACCGCGTTGGCAACGGGACTACAACATGCATTAGTTTTGTTTTATTACTTCAATAATAATGTAATTTAGCATTTTCTTAGGTGAGCAAAATATAAGCTCCTTCGAGGGTTTCTTTACGGTTCTTTACCTCGTCGCTTTTTTTGAAACGTCAGGATAGCGAACGTAGTTGTTTAGGGTTGGGTTTCTCTATATCTATAAATAGAGATTAAACCCCTTGGATAATTATCAACAATAATAATCTCATTTAATCCTCTCTGTCTCTCTCGTCTCTTCCCCTCTCCCTCTGCCTAACGCACACCTGTGCGTTTGCCTCAGCCGTTTCACTCCTCCTTCACCCTCTTTTCGAGTTTGGGGAGCACTCCGAGCCTCCTTCGACGATACGTACTGTATCATCCTATACATTTAGTATTCATAGAGGAGTTGTAGACTGTAAGTAGTAATAGTTGTAATGCAGCTCACGTGTCATTAATTACATGTTTACACAATTACACATGCCTACGAAATATGGTTATGTTCAAGGAAACACATGCCTATGTAATATGGTTATGCTCAGCATGTATACAGAATGTCTTACCGTTTCAACTCCCTTCATCCCACTATATATGTCCCATTTTTTCATCTAATTCTATCCCAAAATATATGTGTTATATGGAGCAGTAAATGTTTTTCATATTTGTGTGAGTTCAAAATCATCCATGCTTTACATATTAAATATCAAACACACAATTCCACTTTTCCTTCATTTAGACAGAATCTTATATGTCCCAAACTTAATGGGAAAGGGGTAGTGAGTTCCTACGCAATTAACTCAAACAAACCAATTCTGCAAGTCTTGGAACAAACTTATAAAGGTTATATGTTTTCCAAGACCATAATGCATCTTACCTCTTTAGAGGCAGAATCAAGTTTACGAAACTTTTAGCACCCAAAATATATACTCGTAAAGATGTAATTTCATTTCTCTCTTTGGCTTTTTCACAATGGCCACTCAGACAAAACCAGAAGATATAATAAAGTAAAAAAGATAACAAATTTAAAAAAATAACTGCTGTTCTGAATCGAGTCAACAATGAAACAACCCAGCCACTAAATCGACACTCGAAAAAGTGCATACCTTTTATTTTATTCATTGCAACACAAGATAAAAACCAACACATTTGACCTTAAGATGAATTCTAGACACTCAGATACCACAAATAAACCATGCAATCCACAATACCCTAGACTCGCCACCAACATATAAATAAGACAAAAAATATCTCTGAATGACTCACAAGAACCCTAAAATTTAATGAATCAGCTAAAATGCAAATTCAAACGAAATGCATCACATGCATCCATAAAAATGAATATGTATACTAATGCGTCATAAAATTTCAAAAAGGAAAAAGAGAAAAAAACACAAATTACCGCCTTACCGGCATCATCGGCAGTCGGATTTTCTAAATGCTTAGCAGATCCCATTTCCAGTTATACCGCCCAAACGCGGAGGTAGCAAAGCTTCGATAACTCTCTGATCTTCTTCGTTTCCCTCCTCTTTGAGTTTGAGGGATCCAGTCGTGTTTTAGAGACTATGAGTGCAGAAATGGGCTGAGGTTATATAGAATTATAGATATATACTCCATATAATACTCCGTTTTGCCGCCAAAATGCTGGGAAAGTTCGAATTTTAATTCGCTCGTGGACCAAATGTGAAAATTTAGGCCAACACATCAATTTTGTATTTGTGTTCGATATTTTGCTCGAACTTTTAAGAGAAAATTTTGCTTGATGTATTAGATGGGAGGGCGCTGAACAAATTTAAACCCTAAGTTTTTTGTGGTGCAACTTGAGTACATATTAATTTGTATATTTTCATATATTAATTTTTTTTAGTTTTTATAAAAAAGCTTATCTAATTAATAAAGAATGCATATCTTGTTCATATGTAAATTCATGATGGACCTTAGGTCCACCATCGAATTTGTCTAGAGTGTAATAGTGTCATCGGTGCTTGGTGGTAGGGTGACCAGTGACCACATACTAAATCGATCACAAAATTTTTAAAACAATATAAAATATTGATTTGAAAAAGTACTTCAAGAGAATCGAGTTGTACCAAACCAAATTTTTGGTTCGGGATTTGCGAATGGTAGGAGTTAACTCTCTACACCAAAATTCTCAAACCAAACATATATACTAATATATTAATCTCTCGTACCAAATTAGGTTTGTTTACGATTCGTAGGGTTAAATTTTATTCATTTTCTTTATCCATTTTCGTTACTTATTTTATAAAATAATATAGTCATATCACTTCTTGTTTCATAGAGCTTTTGGTTTGTTTTAATTTTTTTATTTCTACTCTAATTCTTTAATAAATTACATTTAAAATAATTTCAGTCGAACATCGTAAATCAAAACACACGATTTAAATTGGGACAGAGAAAGTATAAAAATAATAATCTTTTTATATTTATTCATTAAATATAAAATTTATTTTGATAAGTTAGTTCAAGTTTTATTATGTGTACGCTATACTTTTATTTGAGTTTTAACATTTTGTAGATACATATAAAAATATTTGTAATATTATTTGATTATTGTTCATACTCATTTCTTGTAATTAATTATTCATTTTTTAGTTTGTTATGGTTCTTTATTTAAATGTACTTTTAATTTTAAAAAAAATAAAGGTATTTGTTAGATTTTAAAGTTTACCTGTACGTATGTATTATCTTGATTTGTATTGAAACGAATACCAACCCAATATTTCAAGATTGGGAACGATACGACGTAAAATCTTATACCAAACTAAAATATTTGGTGTACGAGCTAAATACCGTACTATGCTCACCGCTACACTTGGATACAACAAGTACGACTTCAACACTTCAAACGGTCGCTAACACTATTCTATCCATATATACAAACTCTTTAGTCTTATTGGAATTGACTGTTTGGAAGAAAGGTGTCGCTCGGTCTACGATCTTGGAGAGGAAGCAGATCATGCATAGCAATCGAGTTCCTGGTCAAGCGTTGTTCATTAACATTTTGTGGGGCCTCCATGTCAAGTATGACATGTACTTTCTCCTGTTGGGCTTGACGGCACATTAACTCACCGTGTGGCTGAGAAACTTACCTCTCTACACCCAGAACACGCATTTCATTCGATTGAGGCGGAGATTGTGCATTTTTCATGGTTGCATAAAATGTTAAAAAGTACCTCACATCGGAACTTGAAGAGGAAATAAACCGGTATATAAGCCCTTGAGTTGAACTAACTAATCGATTGGATTCAATTTTTTAATGTGGTTCAATTCAAGTGTCTTATTGCCCAATCAAGTTTTCCATACCCCCATCCTAAATTCCATTATGGTATTAGAGCAAGTTTGGGTAGGGCTGGGTCTGGAAAACCAAAAACCGAAAACCGAGCCGAAATCAATTGAACAATACCAAAAAAAACCGCACCGCAAAAAACCGAAACCGAACTCAAAAAACCAAACCGAACCGATTGAATTCGGTTTCGGTTGCGGTTTTGGCTATTTAAAACCGAACCGAACTGCTAAAAACCGAATTGTACTTAGTTATAAGCCTTTTAGGTTTACGGTCAGACTCCTCCAATCCTCAATCGCAGTCCAACACTTCCGAATCGCAGACTCCTCATCAGGCGTTAGTCAGGGACTACAATCTTGAATCTTCTTCGTTGCGCTCTTCAGATCTCCAACAGTCCAACATCCATCCACCATCACAGTGAAGCAGTCCAACTCAGAATTCTTTAATGGCAGTGAAGCAGTCCACCATCGCAGTTGTTTCATCATATGTTCATTAATTTTTTTATCAAATCATTCTAGGAATTGAAGTTTTCCCTTGTCTATTGTGACCTAGATTGATTAGATTCCCTGTTTGCAAAGCATTCCAGAGCTTAATTAACGGTGATTATAGTTATAATTAAATACTGGTTAGATCGTTGATTGAATTAGAATTAGTTGCTGGTAATTGTATTTATTTGTGTTCTTACCAGCAGATTTTTATGTATGTTCTCAGTGAATTTTGATGCATTCATGTTTAATATTGTAAAATTTATTTGGCTGCACAATTCTTCACTTAATAAACTTATTGCTTTTTTTTGTTTTGTTACAACACATACTCCGTAATATTTTAAGATACTCTTGCTTCCAGATTCTGTTCTCTCTTCTCTGTAACTCTCATAGTTCAGTACATGTTTTTGAATATACAATGTTTGAAACAAATGTCTATGGCATGGCATTGTAGTTTTTGGATGTTTGTTTATTGCATTTTTATAGTTTTCAACTGCAAATTACTGCATTTCTCCCAGTTTTTTTTACTTGTAATTATAGTTTATTTATTATTTTACTTGTATGTTTACAAAATTTACTCTCTACTAATTGTTTGGCATATCTAAATAATAATAGGTCTCTACCTAAAATATTATTTTACTCTTAAATTAAATTTTTAAAAAGCCTAAAGAATTGAAAAAAACCGAAATTTAAACCGCTAAAAACCGAACCGTATAACGATTGGTTTTCTTTTTTTTACAAAATCGAACCGAACCGCACCGCCAAAATGCCTTCCGTTCTGTCTTTGGTTTTAGGTAAAAATCGAACCGTTAAAACCGAACCCCCCCCCCCCCTCTAATATTTTGGTTTTGGTAGCTTCTCACAAAAGGATAGTGTTGCTCCCACAATTATAAATCAATATATCATTGTATTGACAACGATAGTATTGCTACATGAGCTAAAGAAGCTACAGTCTCACCAAGAAACCAAAATATCATTAGATCTCAACACAGCATACGAAAAGTCGTAAAAGATAGGCATGCCTACCCCATCATTGATAATACTTAAATGCCCTGTGCAATTTTTAAACTCTTGACTTTATTGCTTTAATATAAAAATTAAACAAGAAGATTCTTTCATTATCAAGTATTTATTAAATTAAATACAAATTAAATAATATGATTAGTGTTTAAATTAATAAAACCTTAAAAAAATTACAATATCATTAAAATTATTAAAGAAAATCAAAATTGACAAACATCTACAACATGCATGAACTTTAAGTATAGTGAGACTTCAATTCCTTCTCTAATTAACTAGAATGACTTGATTTGCTTCATTTATCATGCTTCAAAGTTTACACATCATATATATCATTTATATATATATATATTTATATATATATATATATATATATATATATATATATATAACAGAATCGGAGCTGCAAGAATGCGACATTTGGCGGAGCTGTGGCGCGACATTTGGCGAGGCTGATGTGTCATTTTTTAAGAAAACATGAAATGATGTGGAAGGTGAGGTGTCATGAAACCTAAACCATAAAGAAAAAAGAAGAAATCACGTAGATCTAAAAAAAGAAAACTAAGTCTTCCGTTTCCTGCTGGAGAGAGTCCCACGTTGCTTTCCTTTTCTTCTCCCAAATTCCTTCATCATCTCCTTTCCTTTTCTGGATGATTTTGAACACAAATTAACAAAGAGATTATAACCCGTGTAATTATTCTTCATTTTTTCTTCCCTTATCCTTTATATATATAAAGCAGAGTCGGAGCTATAAGAACGTGACATTTGGCAGAGCTAAAGCACGACATGTGGCGAGCTGATGTGGCGACATTTGGCAAAGCTATAAAGCGCGACATGGCAAGCTGATGTGTCACCCTTTCAGACAAACCGATCGGTTTAGACCAGTTCTTTTTTTGCAATTTTTTTCCAAAAGCATACCACCATGGGGTTTGAAACAAGGATCTCTTGGTCATTTAGTTGAGTTCCTAACCATCCAAGCTATAGTGCTTTTTGTTACAATCTCACTTAAGCTTTTATCCTTTATCCTTTATATATATAAAGCAGAGTCGGAGCTATAAGAACGTGACATTTGGCAGAGCTAAAGCATGACATGTGGCGAGCTGATGTGGCGACATTTGGCAAAGCTATAAAGCGCGACATGGCGAGCTGATGTGTCACCCTTTTAGACAAACCGATCGGTTTAGACCAGTTCTTTTTTTGCAATTTTTTTCCAAAAGCATACCACCATGGGGTTTGAAACAAGGATCTCTTGGTCATTTAGTTGAGTTCCTAACCATCCAAGCTATGGTGCTTTTTGTTACAATCTCACTTAAGCTTTTATAATGTTTCATAATTAAAAAAGGATTGTATAAAAATTTCTTTTTAGTTATAAAAAATATAATCCTTTAATATAATATTTGAGACTCCGTTTGCTAGAAAGTCACCAAGTGTCAAACTTATGTGGGCTATATTAAGGTGAGATGGCAAGTCTTTATTGGTTGCTTATGTGGCAAATTTTATTAATGATGAATTGACCTTTCTTTTTATTTTAAAATAGATATTTAAAAATGATTTCAAATTTTGGAAAAATTTTACGTTAAACAAATAAAGAATTCATTACTTCGTGACATTAGTTGAGTATTTATATTTTTTATTTTTAAAAAGCAATTCATCTATTTATTTGTTATGATGTGATAAAATTAATTATGTTATAAAATCAAATTTGTGAAAGATAAATATAGTATTGTCC